CTGGGGCTGGGGTAGGCCTCTGGGCCCCCAGTGCCAGATGCAGCGGAGCCATGGCCCCCAGCAAGGGGGGGCCTTCCAGGCAAGCCTGTCTGTGCAGTCAGTGCTCCCACTTCCCCGGGATGCTTCAGAATAGCCCCGCGGGTCCCCTGGAGGGACAGCCTTCTGCTGTCACAAGGAGGAAGAGACGAGCCCAGGTGATTGCCACACAGTGACATCAGTGTCCAGTTCGTTAAAGGCCTTTTCCCAGAATAAGCTTTTTACACATATAATTATAAAAGTAATGTATGCGCACTGTAGAAAACGGGAAATTCTCCCCCCAAAAATGTAGGCGAAAGAGCAAGAATCCTTCACGTCGCCACCCTCAGTGGCAGCGACCCCCTCGAACGCCCCGCCGTGCCCTCCCCTGCACCGCTTCGTGACGCCACGTCGGTTGTACGGTGGGGTCTCGTCTGGTTTTCTCTCGTTCAACGTTATAGCAGATACTTTCCCAGATCTTAAAATTTTCTCTCTACATGTCATTTTAATAGCTACACAGCAGAGGTTCTTAAAAGCGACTTCTTCCATCACTTTTCTATGGTGACCATTTTCCATAATTATAAACTTGCAATGAATACCTTCTTACTCTACTCTTCCTGTCATCAGCTTGGGGTGATTCCCAGAAATAGAGTTTCCAGGTCAAAAGGATCCATGATTTCGAGTTCTTGATACATATCGCCAAATCGCTTTTCAGAAAAATCCTGCCAGTCTATCTCGTATTAGGAAAAGCACGAGCGCCCGCCTCACGTCCCCACAGCTTCACCAGCACGGAGTATTCCGACTTTTAAAACGGATTCCGTTTGAACGCTTGCTTCTTCCACTCTCTAGAATGAGCTTAGACTTTTTTCAGATGCTCGTCAGGCATGTGTGTTTCCAGAACTGTTGAGTCAAAAGCATCATGGGCATCTCTCTCTCGCTCTGCCTGGCACCCATATGAACAGCCCTCCCCAGCGTCAGCCAGTGACAGGCTCCTCGGGCCAGCCTCAGACGCCCCCTCACCTTCACCTGCTCCGGCGACCGGGACGTCAGCCAGTGCTGCCTCCACCTCCTCCCAACCAGCAGGTATTTAAAGCCGCTAGAAGCCACCAGGTTGTGAATCGTCACTGGTAGACGGAGGCCAGTGCTGGTACAGATAGAGTAAATCAAACTCCGAAAGCGGTTCGTCCTCGGATTTGTGTGGGCTGAGACGCACACTGCCCGGTCAACTTGGGCTCGAGTTTCTAGGAATTCGAGGAACGTAACCTTTTTGAGCCACACGCCCGTGTGAGAAGATGAGAAAGCGTGTGCTTCGTGGGCACCTCCGGGACGTCAGGCCCTTGACCCCATTTACCCTGCTCTGCGCGGTGACCCTGCCAGGCGGGTCCCCGTGTCTCCATTCAAAGGCAAAGAGGGTGAGGCCGGAACACGGGAGATGAGGCTCGGGATAAGAGACGGAGCTGGGATTTGAACCCAGGTCCACGGGGTGCCAGGGCCCAGGCTCAGACACCCCACATCCGCACGGGACAGCAGCAGCCACAAGTGTCTCCGGAGCCTGCGGTGCCAGCGGACGCCTTGTCGCTAAGTGAACAGCCACGAGTCACAGTGCAGGGGCCTTGGCCTGGGACGTGGTCGCGCTGGCAGCACCCTCGGCGTGGTCGGGAACCCTCCCAGCCAAGGTCGCGTGGGGGCCCAGAGGAGAAAGTCCAACCAAGACAGGACAACGATGACGTCTCGTGAGGACTGGGGACGAGGGCGATACGAGTGTGTCCGTCGGGGTTGTTCTGGGCCCTGCGGTCCGGGCTGCGTCCCCTGAGCAGAAGGTCTGCTGAGGAGAAAGTCTGCTGCCAGAGCTCACGATGTTTACCGAACGCCTCAGCTGTCGCTTCTGTACAAATAAACGGGATGAAGTGGCTGCCGACGGCACACCAGGCTATTTTTAGACAGGGTGGCTTTTCAAGGAGGGGGGGCCTGCTCCTAGAATAGCCCGCCCCAGGCCAGGCTCGGCCACAGCGTCACAGTCTCCTGGGTCCAGGGGCTCCTTCCTGTCCTGGCCGGCAACACCTCCTTCTAGGGACAACGTTTGGGACTGACCGTCCGTCACTGGATCAGCAGAACACCGAAAACTGCCCGTGGGTTTGGTGGGTCCAAAGCCGGGAGAAGACGTTCAAACCAGAGTTTGTGACACGTAGCCAGGCAGCTGATCTACAAGCCAACGCCCCAGGCTGGACTTCGGTTGCGACGATGCCTGACGTGCTGGCGCTTACCATGTGCTAAGTGCTTGACACGTACTGACTCATTTGTTCTCGTGAGGAGACCCAGCCTGTCGGGACTTCCTGTGGCTTCTCTCACTTCTGCTTTCTGCCTGAAACACGAATCCTTGTTCACGTGGGAAAACAACACAGCCCAGTGGGCACGGGTCCCGCACGGGTCCCTCACGCGCTCTGCGGCCTCCGCCCACTTCCTCCCGCCCCCGCCTCCCACTTAGCCCGCCCGCGTGGACCGGGAGGCCCCCGGCACCCTGTGCCCAGAGGCCGATGACCGGAGAGCAGGCGCGGCAGAAAAAACAGTGACCCAGCGACTCAGAGGCCAGAGCTAGGCGCTGGGGGGGAGGGGCACTTGGGTGCAGGAGAGGCCCAGCCTTTTCCAAACGAGAGCCTCCCCAGATATCTCCTGCATGTCGATTTATGGCTTCTGCTCCATTTACTCACTTGCTAGATTAAAAATAAGGAAAGTATCTTAAATATCTTCATTTTTTTGTGTGGAGCCAAAATCATTTGTTATATTCTTTTGACTGAAGAACTCGAATTTCTCCTAGCAGAATGAATTCTCCCAGCTTCTTTTTCTCTGAAAAAGATCTTTATTTCAACCTCGTCATTGGGAGATATTTTGGCTGGGTGTAGGATTCCTGTCCCCCGGTCCGGTCCCCCGGTCCCGTCTGCCCGTCTGCCGGCCTCCCGCCGGGCTTGCCGGCCTCTGGGACGAGTCGGCCGTGGCTCATCATCGTTCCCCACAGGCATCTTTTCTCTGACTGACTCCAAGCTTTTTTTCTCGTTTTTCTTTACCTTTGGTGTCCAGAGTTTGACTTTTGACTCATCTGTGCGGCTGTTCGTTGTTGCTGTTGCTCTGCTCGGGTCCTGTTTGGGATTCTCTGAACTTCCTGGGTTCGTGAATCGACATGTCATTATTTCTGGAAAAATCTCAGCCGTTATCTCTTCACATACCCTCTTCCCCTTCCCTCTCCTCCGTCTGGGACCCGGACCGCGAGTGGGAGTCGGTGCACCTGCGTGTTGCTAAGCAACCACAACTCTGGGGCACTCTGCACCGTTTCTTCGTGCTGTCCGGGCCAGGTCATTTCTAAAGGCCCATCTTCAAGTTCACCAGTTTCTTCCTCAGAATGGGCTGTGGATTCACCCACCTGAGGGCTCGCTGCCTCGGGCGGACATCTGAAGATGCCTGGCTGGTCCACCTCTAGTCTGCATCCCAGCTGCCAGGTCCCAGGAGCAGAGAGGGACGTCCCTTAGCCCCAGCGCACCTGCTGGTGTCCGAGAATGTGCACGGCATCTGGGAGCCCCCACAGGAGACATCTAGGACCTTCATCCCCTAGATTCAGGGCCACTGCCATGGGGCCTGGGTTTCTGGAGACGCTGGAGGCGGTGGGGAAAGGGGTAGTCAGCCCCTGGCTCAGCCGCCTGAGTGCCCCGCTTGCCCAGGGACTGACGACCTGCTTTTCCCTCTGCAGGAGGTATAGGGAGCTGGCGGACTGCACCAGGTACGTGATCGAAGAGCTGGGCTGCTATTGGCCAAGCACGGAGGTGGACAAGTTCTTCATCGCCGTCCACCAGCACTACTTCAGGAGCTGCCCGGTCTCGGGCAGGGCCGCGCGTGACCCCCCCAGCAGCATACTCTGCCTCTTCACCGTGCCGCCCACCCTGGCGACCCTGCTGGTGACGGCGCTGGTGGTCTGGGGGAGCAAGCGCAGAGGTGGCCTGGTGTAGGCCGTGGCCTGGGGGCCGCCCGCCACGGAGGCCGCAGGGAGGCGGGCAGCCGCACGCCTGGCCGGGCCTGAGCCCTGGAGGCGGAGCAGGCCCCGAGGCCCCTCTTCCTCCACCTGAGAACGGCCAGCAGGGTCTCGGGGAGGCGGTGGCGCAGGTGTGAACTCGAGAGCCCGGCTGGCGGGGCGAGCCACCCTGGGAAGGGGGCCCGGCGCCTGGCGGCGGGGCTGAACTGTCTGTCGTCATGTCCGGAGCAGTCACAGGAGGTCTCCGCCCTCGGCTCTGCTCCCACCTGCGGCCACACCGTGGATGAGCAGTCGGTGATTAAAAGGATGTCCTTGACTTTGGGAAGCATCATTATTTCCGGGTATGGGTCACCGGGAGTAGAAGCGGGGGAGGAACGCTGGCCCCTTCAGAGTCCGTGCCACGCTGACGGGACGTGCCGTGGCAGGGACTTTGCTGGGGGACGGTGACCGTGAGGCCCCATGAGGCGGCGAGGCCCGTGTGCGGCTGCAGCTGCTGCCCTGGATTTCGAGGCCCCGACCCCACCCCTCCAGGGTCTAGAGCCCCTGGCTCAGAGACGCGATTCGGACAGGACAGGATGGGTTGGCTGTTTCCTGTGCCCCGCCCCCCCGCCAGCCCTCAGGCCCAGGTGTCCCCCCGACTCGGACCCCACTCTGCCCCAGAGGGCTCCGCTGGCTCTTTGCACATCAGTGCTCTCCTCTCTCCTGCCAGCTGCTGCTTCCCAGTCGCCATCTTCCCAAGCTCCCACTTATAGCTGGGCTTCCAGAAGGTTCTGGATCCCCGAAGGGAGCTCCCACCCTGTCCCTCCCAGATGTCCTCTGAGCTCAGACACCCACCCCCCGCGGTCCCCATGGCCCCTCCAGGGCCCCCCAGACCTCTCCCTCTGCCCACAGGACAGCCAGACTGTGCCATTACCTTCTAGACTATTCCGCATTAGCACACAGCAGCCACCAGGGGTCACACTCACACACCTGCCCACGCTGGCCAGGAAAGGTGCCCAGAGTGTGCTAACTGCAGTGTCTGCCGGAGGCTCGGGGGATCCCGGCGTCCACACCCCAGGACCTGGGCAGTGGCTGGTTGGGCTGCGTGCTAGGCCCCTGCTTCCTGTGCCCGCCCCTGTTGGAAACTCGGGCTGTGAGAGCTGGGAGGAAATCGGGCGATCGGCTCTGGTCATCTTCGCTTCTCCCCAAGGAAGCCGATGACACTGACACAGGCGGGTCACAATTCAGGCTCCAGGAAGCTCCTGGCTAAGGCTAGGGATGCGAGGTTCGGGGAGTGGGCGTGGCCAAGAAGGGCGCTCGTGGGCTGGACGAGGACGTCCGATACACCTGGGCACTGAGGACGGCGGTGCCCACAGGTAAGGACAGCCCCCGGCCAGCTGTGTCACTCACTCCTGTAACAAGCTACGTGTGCATCACGGCCCCGCCTCCCACACCTGCACATCCGGCTCGGTTCTGCTTTGTGGTCACGCTCGGGGAAGCAGTCCACCCCACCCAGGACCACAGCGCTGGCGGCAGGGACCCCAGCACCTCACCCAGGGCTGAGCAAGGGGTCCTTCCAGAACCGGATCTGGGGCTGTGGCATCCTCGAGGACAGGGTCCTGGTCCCCGTGTGCTTTGCCGGCCTGAGGCTGGGGGTGGGGTGTGGGGGTGTGAGGGGGCGTGCGTGTGCTTGGTGACGTTCAGATAGGACTCGTCCCTCGGTTTTCTGTCGCCTTGCTCAGTAGTCAGCGTGGTTTTGCGGGTTGAAGGCGTCCTGCTTGCATCACGGGGCTGGGGCTGGGCGGGCAGCAGGTCACACTGGGTGGCCGAACACCTCCAGCCTGGCGTCTCCCCTATGTGGACGCTCACTTCTGCTGGGCCACGGACGCAGATTACTGAGACGGTCCAGTTTTGATCAAGGAAGGTGAGTGACCCTGTCCAGGGCGGCAGGCCACTCAGTGAGACGCCCTGACCCCAGCTGTCACACTACCAGGAAACAGACTAGGGGGACCGACCGCTCCGAGTCAGGGCAGCTGTGCGTGGAGGCGTGTGTCTTCGGAGCACGCGCATGTAGGTCTCATCTGAAAGGCTTTGCCCACTTCCGTGACGCTCAGGGTGTCGGGCGACGGCGTGCCTGCTGAAGCCCTCGCAAAGGTGTCGCTCTTGCCGCAGCCTGGAAGCTAGGAGCGTGGCTGACAGGAAAGGTAAGCCGGCCTCAGCAAGGAAGTGGTTAAGTATTCGGGGGAGGGTCTGAAATGTGCATCAAAGTGCACAAAAATCCGGTATTGGTTTTCGAGACAAAATTCCATGTCGTTAGATGGAGTTTCTTGTTTTTATTTTATTTTATCGTCGTACGAACCCTGAACGTGAAATCTGTCCTCTTGACATATTTCTAAGAAGACGACAGTCTTGCTGACCACAGGTGCGGCATTGTAGGCCGGTCCCTCGAGATCGCTCGCCTGGCTTCGCTGCAGCTTTATGCCGCTGGCGACGCCTCCCCACTTCCACAGCTGGCCCTGGCGACCGCCACGCCATGCGCCGAGGCTGTGAACGGGACGATTCCAGATGCCTCTTACGAGCGGGAACCCATGTCCTCGTCTTTCTGGGACTGGCTTACCGCACTTAGCAGACCGTCCTCAGGGTCCATCCCTGCGGTCACGTGTTGCGGACTCTCCTTCTTCGAGGATGGAGGACGCTCCACTGTGTGGATGGGCCACAGTCTGTTGTCCCCTCGTCTGTCGGTGAACACAGGTTGTTCGCACGTTTTGACGGTCGTGGATGACTTCTGAGCACTTGGCTCTGAATGTACATTGGGAAGCGCGTTTGAGTATGCGTGTACTTGACCTCTTCCTCAACAGGCTACAGCAGTCAGTAGACGGGGTCAGTCTTGTTGGGATGGGGCAAAACTCTGCCCTAAGCAGGGGGCTATCTGTCCAGTCTGGGTTCACAGTCAAGTATTTGCATGTCACAGGGCTGAGAGCAAAGAATGGAAGGCAGGCTAGCAAATAAGGCACCTAATTAACAAGCCGAAGCATAATTTTGGTCTCATTAGTACACTGGGACTTGAAGATAAACACACACACACATAAAAGCGAAGGGCTTCCTACGATAACTCCAAGCATCAGTTTCCCGAGGCTGCCTCTAACAAATCAGCACAAACCGGGCCACCAAAAACAACAGACCTCATTCCCTCAGCACTGCCCGAGGTGGGAAGTCCCCAGATCAAGGCTATGGCGGCCAGGCCCCTCTGAGGCTCTAGGGGAGGCCGGTCCTGCCTCTTCCAGCCACAAGTCTTAGTTGGCGTGGCTTGTGGCTGCATCACATGACCTCGGCTGTCGTCTCTGGGCGTCTCTACTTGTCATCTCACAAGGTTCAGGGCCCCGCCCACTCCAGTGTGGCTTCATTTTGACTTAACCGACTGCATCTGCAAAGCCTTGTTTCCAAATAGGCCACATGCTGAGGTTCCGGGGGGGACAGGAATTTGGGGGACATGATCCAACCTAGTGCACTCAGCGGACCGAAGAGCCGGTGACACCTCGGTTCTCCCCGTCGCACGGCCACGAGAGGACAACGCGGAGAACTGTGATTTACCTGCCGCAGAAGCTGTTTCCAACGCCCAGCCAGTCAGAGGCTAGGACAAGGCCAGGTGTCTCAGGAGCCCCCGGGAAAAATGCCTCGTCCCCAGTGAAGGGTAGGGTGACATAATTCCCACAGACAGACCGCCCCCAATAGCAGCTGCAGGTTCGCCAAGCTCTGGGTGTGCGCCACGTGTGTGTCTGTGTGTGTCCATGTGAGTGCATGTGTGTGTCTGTGTGTGTGTCTGTGTCCATGTGTGTGCACGTGTGTCTGTGTGTGCATGTGTGTCTCTGTGTCTGTCCATGTGTGTGCACGTGCATCTGTGTGTGCACATGAGTGTGTGTCTCTGTGTGTGTCTGTGCACGTCTATGTCTGTGTCCTCGTGTCTGTGTGTCTCTGTGTGTCTGTGTGTGCACGTGTATGTGTGTTTCTGTCTATGTGTCTGTGTGTGTGTCTGTGTGTATATGTCTGTGTCTGTGTGTGTGTCTGTGTGTACACATTGCACATGTGTCTCTGTGTGTGTCTGTGTGTATCTGTGTGTCTCTGTATATCTGGTGTCTCTGTGTGTCTGTGTGTGCACGTGTACTTGTGTGTCTGTGTGTCTATGTCTCTGTGTGTCTGTGTGTCTCTGTGTATCTGTGTGTGTGCGTGCATGTGTGTGTCTGTGTGTCTATGTGTCTGTGTGTATGTGTCTGTGTCCGTGTGTGTGTCTGTGTGTATACATGTGCACATGTGTCTCTGTGTGTGTCTGTGTGCATCTGTGTGTCTCTGTGTATCTGTGTGTGCGTGCATGTGTGTGTCTGTGATGGTGTGTGTGCATGTGTGTCTGTGTCCGTGTGTGCACGTGTACGTGTGTGTCTGTGTGTCTATGTGTCTGTGTGTATATGTCTGTGTCCATGTATGTGTCTGTGTGTACACATGTGCATATGTGTCTCTGTGTGTCTCTGTGTATCTGTGTGTGTGCATGTGTGTGTCTGTGTCTGTGGGCGTGCATGTGTGTGTCTGTGTCTGTGTGCGTGCATGTGTGTGTCTGTGTCTGTGGGCGTGCATGTGTGTGTCTGTGTCTGTGGGCGTGCATGTGTGTGTCTGTGTCTGTGGGCGTGCATGTGTGTGTCTGTGTCTGTGGGCGTGCATGTGTGTGTCTGTGTCTGTGGGCGTGCATGTGTGTGTCTGTGTCTGTGGGCGTGCATGTGTGTGTCTGTGTCTGTGGGCGTGCATGTGTGTGTCTGTGTCTGTGGGCGTGCATGTGTGTGTCTGTGTCTGTGGGCGTGCATGTGTGTGTCTGTGTCTGTGGGCGTGCATGTGTGTGTCTGTGTCTGTGGGCGTGCATGTGTGTGTCTGTGTCTGTGGGCGTGCATGTGTGTGTCTGTGTCTGTGGGCGTGCATGTGTGTGTCTGTGTCTGTGGGCGTGCATGTGTGTGTCTGTGTCTGTGGGCGTGCATGTGTGTGTCTGTGTCTGTGGGCGTGCATGTGTGTGTCTGTGTCTGTGGGCGTGCATGTGTGTGTCTGTGTCTGTGGGCGTGCATGTGTGTGTCTGTGTCTGTGGGCGTGCATGTGTGTGTCTGTGTCTGTGGGCGTGCATGTGTGTGTCTGTGTCTGTGGGC